AGAGAGAGAGAAACATCGATGTGAGAGAGACACATTGACTGGTTGTCTCCTGCGTGACCCCAACCAGGCTGGTGATAGAACCTGCAACCCAGATACGTGCTCCTGACCAGGAATCAAACCCATGAATTTTCAGTCCACAGACTGATGCTCTAACCACTGAGTAAAACCAGCAGGGCTAGAATGCCATTTTTATTGAAAAGAATATAGACAGACTATGGTCACTCAGACTTAATAATGGAAAATGAAGTGAGCCTGTCACTTCATGGAAAACAATGGACAGTATTTGTTACCAATAATAAATCTGAGCTTCCAAATAAAAATTAAAATTCTCAAAATTTCACATTTGTCACCATGAGCTTGAGATTTTCCCATACTTAAAGATGTATCTAATGGGATTAGTAGTGATGTTAATAAATGTTATTTTTTTTCCTTATACATGCAATAGTTTAACATTCAGGAGATCTGCAGAACTCAGTGAACTGATATTTTCCAAATGACCAATGCATGGCATTACCAAACCATTCAAGGATGAATGATCCATTCAAAGTGCAAGAATGGCCAATGGATTTTAAGGCAACAGTATGAGAAGTTCATTGACCTGGTTTCAGATTCCACACTACAACTAATTTTTAAGAAATTACCCCTTGTTGCCCTGGCCAGTTTGGCTCAGCGGTTAGAGCATCGGCCAATGGACCAGAGAGTCCCAAGTTCGGTTCCCACTAAGAGCATGTACCTTGGTTGCAATTTGTCCCCAGCCCCAGTTGAGGTCGTGTGGGTGGCAACCAGTCGATGTGTCACATCGATGTTTCTCTGTCTCTCTTCCTTGTTCTCTCCCTCCTGCTCTATCTGAAGATAAATGCAAAAAAATGTCCTGAGGATAAAAAAGAAAGAAAGAAATTACCACTTGTCAAAGTTTGATATGTTATCAAAGAAAAATATCCACATTTATCTAAAAGAGTCATGTAAATGTTCTCTCCTTGCCTTCCAGGAGTGGCTCAGTTGGTTGAGTGTCATCCTGTGCACTGCAAGGTTATACATACCTGGGTTTCAGGTTTGATCCCCAGTGGGGGCACATACGGAACGCAACCAATCGATGTTTCTCTCTTCCTCTCTCTCTCTCTCTCTCCCTCTTCCTCTCAAAACATGTCCTTTGGTGAGGGGGGTGGGGGGGAGAATTAAATGTTCTCTCCTTTTTTAACTGCATATCTGTGTGAAGTTGAATTTTCACTTATTTCAAACCAAAAAAATGCCCTCTGACAGATGGAGGGCAGCAGCAGACATGCTTCTATAAAGCCAGACATAAAAGAGATTTGCAAAATTATTATTATTTTTTATCCTCACCCGAGGACATTTTTGGGGTTTTTTTGCATATATCTTCGGATAGTGCAGGAGGGAAAGAGGGAGGAAGAGAGAGAGAGAGAAACATCGATGTGAGAGAGACGCATGGAGTGGCTGCCACCCACATGACCCCAACCGGGGCCAAGGACAAGCCGCAACCAAGGTACGTGCCCTTAGCGGGAACCGGACCCGGGACTCTCTGGTCTACAGGCTGATGCTCTAACTGCTGAGCCAAACCGGCCAGGGCTGCAAAATTATTTTTTAAGTGCCACTCTTCTCCTTCATTTTTGTTTTGGAAATATAATTATTTTTTATGAAACTATGTTATTTATGTGAACATGTAAGTTTTTCATTTCTATTTTTTAAGTTACAAATGAATAGACTTAAATATTTAAAATTCTTCTCAGTTTTGCCCTGGCCTGTTTGGCTCAGCGGTGAGAGCATCAGCCTGCAGTCCAGAGAGACCCGTGTTCGGTTCCCACTAAGGGCACGTACTTAGGTTGCAGTTTGTCCCTGGCCCTGGTTGGTCATGCGGGTGGCAGCCACTCGATGTGTCCCTTTCACGTCGATGTTTCTCTCTCTCTCTCTCTCTCTCTCTCTCTCCCCCCCCCCCTCTTCTCTCTCCCCCCCACTCTATCTGAACAGGAAATAAAAAAATGTCCTCAGGTGAGGATTAAAAAATAAATAAATAAAATTCTCAGTTTTAATTGCAAACCTGGTAAATACTGGTAGATGCACATAAACAAAAGCTCTTGGAGTCCTCAGTGGTTTTGAAACATTTAAATGGTCCTAAGACCACAAATATATTCTGTAGGGAAGGGAATCCGTGCACTGAGAGGCTGCAGGAAGAGAATTGCAGAAGCCCATGAAATAAACATTCCCTCTGTCACAGTTTCTTAACTAGCGGGTTGTGACATTTTAGCCCATCCCAGCATTAGCCCTTGTGAGTCATGAGTAATGCTGTTTAAAATCCTTGCTGAGTTCTCTTGCAATGTGCCTCTTTGAAGAACACACTTAGACGGAGGCTGGGTGTTTGAGCCACAACCCCATAATCCGATTCAGGAACCTGCAGACACTCGATGGTCACTTGTCCTTCTGTGTGTGAAGTAGGCAGGAAGCAAGAACACGTACTTCTTGTCTGGCCTCGAAGCATTTATCCATCCATCAGCGGGACTGTCTCAGGCACAAGTTTTCCCATGATGCTAGATTCTCCCTTGGTTCTCCAGGACACTGTGTCAGTTACGTGCTCAAGTCCGGCGGTTTTCCTTCTTCCTGTTACTACTGTCCTTGTATTATTTCACAAATGCCCCTTTGCTGGTGAGGATTCAGGATATGAACTTTGGGGAGACACAGTCAGACCAGATAATACAGTTTATCAATTCTTTCTTTTATGAATTTTGCCTTTGATGTCATATCTAAGCCCAGCACAAATCCAAACAGGAGAACTTGGGTTTGGGTGTCATTGCCAAACCCAAAGTCATCCAGATTTTCTCCTCTGTTATCCCCCAGGAGTTCTATAGTTTTGCATTTTACATTTACGTCTATGAACCATTTTGAGTTACTGTTTGTGAATGGTGTAAGGTCTGTCTTGACTCATTTTTTCTGACTGTGGATGTCCGGTTGTTCCAGCACCATTTGTTGAAAAGACTATCTTTGTTTCACTTGTATTGCCTTTGTGCCTTTGTCAAAGATCAGTGACTATATTTATAAGGTTCTATTTCTGGGCTCTCTATTCTGTTCCATTATCAATTTGTCTGTTCTTTGGCCAGTACCACACTGCGTTGACTACTGTGGCTTTAGAGTAAGTTTTTTTTTTTATCCTCACCCGAGGACATTTTTGCATTTATCTTCAGATAGAGCAGGAAGGAGAGAAAGAGAAACATCGATGTGAAAGAGACACATCGACTGGTGCCACCCATATGACTCCAACTGGGGCCGGGGACAAACTGCAACCAAGGTCCGTGCCCTTAGAGGGAACCGAACCTGGGGCTCTCTGGTCCACAGGCCGACGCTCTAACCTCTGAGCCAAACCAGCCAGAGCTAGAGTAAGTCTTGAAGTAGCATCAGTCCTCCCACTTGATTCTCCTCCCTCAATATCATGCTGGCTCTTCTGGGCCTCTCCCAGTTCTGATTTTTTAGATTCCCCCAGGCCCCCAGGCAAAACATCCTCTTCTCACTCTGTGGGTGGTCATTTCCCTAGGCTTCCTGAGAGTAGGGGAGAAGCCTGTGTGCTCAGTGAACATCCCGCTTCACCTTCTCCTCTTAAAAATACCCCTTACTTCAGCACTGGCTCCCCGCCCCAAACCAGGGGGCTCAGACTTTCAAACATGCCTTTGCTTAAAACATCCAATAATCAGAGAATAAAATGTGAGTTTCTCATTGTGTCCTACAACACATCGTTTGTGTGTCTTTCTTCATCTCCTTCTCTCCCCTTCACCTATTAGGCTGCAGCCACATTGGCCACAGTTCTGTCCCTTGGCCATACCAAGCCCTCTCCAGCCCTGACTGTGAGCTTGCTCAACCTCCCTGCCTGGAAAGCCCCTTCTCTGCCTTTAGGTCATCTTCAAGTGCCACCTCTGCAGAGAAACCTTCCTTCACTTTTATAGCTTTGGAGTAACCTCACCGTGTTCTCTTTATCATGACCCTTTTTATTTCCTTCATAACACTTATAAAAAATATCCAAATGTTGCCCTGGCTGGTTTGGCTCAGCAGTTAGAGTGTTGGCCCACAGACTAAAGAGTCATGGGTTCAATTCTGGTCAAGGGCACGTACCTCAGTTGCAGTTCGTCCCAGTGGTCGGGGTCATGCAGAAGGCAACCAGTTGATGTGCCTCTCTCACATTGATGTTTCTCTCTCTCTTCTCCTCCCTCCCACTCTGTCTGAGGATAAATAGAATATCCTCAGGTGAGGATTTTAAAAAATATATCTAGCCCTGGCCGGTTTGGCTCAGCGGTTAGAGCATCGGCCTGCGGTCCAGAGAGACCCGGGTTCAGTTCCCGCTGAGGGCACGTACTTCGGTTGCAGTTTGTCCCCGGCCCTGGTTGGTCGTGCGGGTGGCAGCCACTCGATGTGTCCCTTTCACGTCAATGTTTCTCTCTCTCTCTCTGCCTCCCACTCTATCTGTACAAAAAAATGGAAAACTGTCCTCGGGTGAGGATTTTATATATATATATATATATATATATATATATATATATATATATATATATCTTGCTTGTTGGTTTACTTGCTAACTAGCTGTCTCATGGATGGAATATAATGTTCTCGAGGACTGGAAGTCACCTATCTTGTTCACAGCTCTATTTGCAGATTCTAAGGCAGTATCTGCACATAGTAGGCCCTCAATAAACATCTACAAATCAATGAGTGAAGAAATGAGTTGGAGGAAATTTTCCATTCATGTTTTTTTCTGAAGTTAAAAAGACAGTCTGCTTTCTACCTGAAGAAACAAAAACATCCCTCCTCTGAATACCCTCTTGGGAACCCTAACACTTTCTTTGAGGCTTTGGAAACCAGACACAAGGAAAGAAAGTTCCTTTCAGGCAAAGACAACTTCTGCTTTTCATCCTGCCAAAAACCTCAGCTGGAGGGGAGAAAGGGTGCAGGGCTGGTTATTTTATTGAGTGAAGGGTGTGAAGATTGGAGAGGAGGGAGTGGAAAAGGACAATTCAAGGAGGAAAAAGCCAAATTAATCTCTCTAGAGGTCATCCAGCACGTTTCACCGAGGGTGTCCTCGGTGGTTCCTGACCACCGAGATGGGGGTGGAGGGCCACTGCCTTTCACACAGAGGTGCTGGCATCAGCTCAATTAGCCAACCAGCCGCATTCCCAGCGCTGGACTCCTGTTCCAACAGGACCCGGCCTTCAGGCAACGCAAGGCGGGGGAGTCTGAATGGTGAGGGAGAGTCCTGCTCCTTCTTAAGTGCCTGTGAGTCAAGCCAGGGCTGGAACGCCAGTGTGCCGGTCAGCCAGCCTGCCAGGCAGCTGTCCCTCGGAGCCAGGAGAGGAGCCCGAGCCCGCACCTGCATCCACACCTCTGCCACCCCACACCTCCCATGGCCGACCAGCTGACAGAGGAGCAAGTGGCCGAGTTTAGGGAGGCCTTCTCCCTGTTCGACAAGGATGGGGACGGCACCATCACCACCCAGGAGCTGGGCACCGTCATGCGGGCCCTGGGCCAGAACCCCACGCAGGCGGAGCTGGAGGGCATGGTGAGCGAGATTGACCGGGATGGCAACGGCACTGTGGACTTTCCTGAGTTCCTGGGCATGATGGCCAAGAGGATGAAGGACAGGGACAGCGAGGAGGAGATCCGGGAGGCCTTCCGTGTGTTCGACAAGGACGGCAACGGCCTGGTCAGCGCGGCAGAGCTGCGGCACGTGATGACCAGGCTGGGGGAGAAGCTGAGCGACCAGGAGGTGGACGAGATGATCCAGGCGGCGGATGTGGATGGGGACGGGCAGGTCAACTACGAGGAGTTCGTCCGCATGCTGGTCTCCAAGTGAGGGGCTGGCAGCGCTGCAGCCCCACCAGGCCGTCCCCACCCGCTTGGCTGGGGATCGAACAGCCTCTGGCTGCAGCAAGAGCCTCGGGCCCTCACTGTTTCCCACTTGCCAGCGTCCTCCAGCACTGCTTCTGGGCAAGGTGAGGTCGGGCCTGCTTTCTGCTCTCCCTTTGTCTCCTATTTCCTGCCTCCCACCCTCTTCTCACCCAGAATGACACAGGCTGCTGGCAAGCCCAGCAAACCCTGAGTGCTTCTGTCCCTCAGGAGAAGGAAAAGTGACATCTCTCTGCCGGACAATGAGCAGAAGGATGAGTGAAAGTTGCACAGACGGCGCCATGCGTGGGGAGGGTGCAATGTGACATCAGAGTCCTCCGGGCCGAGTCCCTGGGAGGCACTTGGCACTAGGACCCAGGCGGCTGTTGCCTTCAGACTTCATCTGCTGCTGGGTCCAGGCAGGTGGAAGGAATCTGGCCCTGGAGCAAGGTGGTGACCGAGACTGACAACAGAAACCAGGCTTCCTGAGAAACAACACTTCACTTCCACAGGGCGTCTGTTCCTCTCTGTCTTCGCCAGGCCACTGTGATCCATCTTTTGAAGGTGGGAGTAAAACTAGGGCCGGTTGCAACAAGTCTGGATTCATCGTCTTGGAGGGAAATTTGAATGAAAGGGAGAAGAAAGCCGCAGGGGGAATAAATAAAAGGCCTGTGTTCCTACGATGTTTCTTTTTTTTTCTGACGTGATCTTTGTTAAGTCTAGGGTTTAAACAATGTCAGAATCTCCATTTTGTGTCTTTTAAAATGCACTGAAATCTTGTATTGGCGCGCATAGCAAAAAGGGACAAGTCTGGATAGGGTAAATCTTGAATTTGTATTTCAAATTTAAATGGATTAGTCAGCAGCAGAGAGTGGTTAAAATCCATATGCAGCCGCCTCAAGATCTGAGGCGATGATTATAGTTGGGAAGGTGCCCTGATCACTGTTGGCATTTCTTCTACGTTCCCTCTCTGGCGCTGCGCTGGCGGTGTGGTTAGAAGGAGGGGAGGGGTAGAAAGTGCTAACTGCGTGCCGGGCATGTGTGGGGCAAGAGCCAGCTCCTTGCATTCTACCAGAGGGCACATCAAATAACCCAGAGGTTGAAGGGGCCTTGTTAGAGATTCTTTTACCCGAAGGAGGCAATGTGTAGGGGGACAGACACTACACTGGGGCTCATCAGACCAGCCCTGGGATGGTCACAAAGCAGCTGGCTGATCTTGGATAAGTCCTTCTTCCCTGACACCTCCTCCCCACCATGCGTGTTTCCTCTAATGTAAAACAAATAACATTGGGGCCAGACTGACAGGGATTTCTGGCCTTGTGATTTTTGCTGCTGACTCTGCTCAGATCCTTTAGCCTCCCCATGATGAGAGCTGACGTCACGCAGCCCCTCCGGAGGCTGGACTCAGCTGTGAGCACTCTGCATGCATGGCGGCTCACTACCACCCAATGCAATAGCTCCTGTTAGTGGCTTTGCATCTCACCGATGAGGAAACTGAGGCTGATGTCCCACAGCTGGTAAGTGACAGAGCTGGGCTTGAATGAAAGGCTGTACCCTTGACCACTCACTGCCTCTCCACACCCCTTTGCCTCCAAGGTGACTTGATGATTGTCATGGTGCTTTTCTTGGACATTTGTGGGGATTAGAAACTATCTTAAGACAGCTGGCATGCAATAGGTGCTTAATACACGGCATCTAGTATTGCTATCACCTGTAGGGATCCCTTCCGGCTCCAGCACTGTGAGGCTTGGCAACATAGTTCCACCCCTAGAAATAGTCCAAGGGGAAGAAACGAGGCCAGAAGAGGGCAGGAGCTGAGGGGGCTTCAAGGGCAGGTGTCAGGTGGAACCGGCCCCAGCGCGGTGCAGCTGTGAAGCGGTGGTGTGTGTGTGGGGTGGGGGGGGTGCTCTGTGGCCTGGTCTTGCAGGCTGAACCTGTGAGCCAGTCCACCCCCAGCCCTCGGCAGTCAGATCAGGTGCACAGAAACTAGCCTGTGAGTGAGGGGCGGAGCCTCCAGATGTCACTGGATGCAGCTCCCTCAGGGCACCCATCACCTGAGAGGTTCTGACATGCATTACGGCCCCACCCGCGAAAGGAAACACTGACATCACCCCAGGAACAAGTATGTTTCTGACCTCAGTGTCTTTCCCAAGACATCTCCTAAATGCTGCAGGAAGGTAGAAAACAGGAACGGAATGGGGTCAGGGTCTCCCTTCACGACCAGTGTCGGCTGGTCCGTAGTGGCCAGCCTGGACCTGGCTGGGCAGTTGGCACGTTGTCCCCTTCTTTCCCAGGCCTAACTAAGCCCTGGCCAGCATGGAGACCTCTGTGCCTGCTCACCTTCAGCTCGAAGGGGATGAGTTGTCTTTTGGGCTCCCACCTAGTTTCCTAATGATTTACAAAGTGATTCTTTTTTGTGTTTTTTTTTGGGGGGGGGGGGGTGTTTGTTTTTAAATCCTCACCAAGGATAGGATTTTTTATTTATTTTCAGACATAGTGGGAGGAGGAGGAAGAGAGAGAGAAAAAAGATGTCAGAGAGACACATCGACCAGTTGCCTCCCTCATGACCCTGACCAGGACCAAGGACTGAATCGCAACCGGTATGTGCCCTCGACTGGAATCGAACCTGCGACTTTTTGGTCAGCAGGCTGATGCTCCAACCGTTGAACCAAACCGGCCAGGGCAGCCAAGTAATTCTTCTGTGATTGCATTCTCACAGGCTTGAGAGCCTTCAGTGGAAAATCTGTGGGGCCGGGTAGGGACAAGGTGGCACTGTGGAAAGAGCTCCTGACAAGCCCAGACCCTCCCTTAGGTATTCCAGACGGCCCCAGAAGCTGGACTGCAGATGGGGGTCTGGACAGGCTTGACAGAGGTGACCATTTCTCCCTGTCCCAGAGACAGCAGAGGCCTCAGACCACTCGCCTCGTTGTTGCCCCCATTGCTCTCATGACTCTGAGCATCAGGTAGGGGTCACACCCCATTGGGTGCCCTAAAACATACAGATTAGTAATCAATGGAGTACTCTCCCGTCCACATGGGAATCTAAGGTGACGTGGTCCAGGTGGCACCAGAGTTGAATATGCTTCCTTCCCTCCGCTTGGATTTACATTCCTGAATACAATTTTTTAACAACTGTTTTCCACCATCATTTCTCATTTGACCAAGGTCATCAGCCTGCTCGGCCACATGGTTTGGTCCTTCTCGCAATCTGCTGGGTTGGGGACAGGGCTGCCAGGCCCAAGAGGGATGAAGTTGAGGGGCACTCTCTGATTCTAGGGGAATCCCCTGCTTTGACAGCCATGCTGACTTCCACGCTGGGCACCAGCCAAGCCGACTCCGTGTGCCCTGCCACACATCAGCATCTGCTCGGGGCCTCGGGGCACACCTCTGTCTGTCTGTAGTCTCCTCCCCCTCTCGCTCCATCTTCTTTTCCTTCTTCTTCTCCTGGTTACCGGGACCTGTCCTGTCCTCAGACACCTAGCTAGACATCTTGTTGGTAAAATGTAGTCACCATAACTGCCAGGTGTGGTTCCCTGTCCTTGTTGACTAGGCAGGGGAGGCCTGTGGCTGGAGCAGCAGAAAGGAGCTACCAAATCCTCCTCGACCAGGGAGGCCCTGAGGATGGAAGGGAGGAGCCGGGCTGCAGGTTCGGGCTGCTCACCCTCTGATCTGAAACAGACTTCAAGGACGTTCTCACCCACATTGCTCTCCCTCGCTGAATAATGGGACTTAAACAGCTAACGCCCTTTATCCCCCAAAAAGGTGCTGACTGCCGCTCAGAACATTCCATCTGTCCTTGGGGAAGGAATGTATAAATATTACCTTGGCTTCCATGTGCTCACACCAAGTTTCTCATAAATCAGAGCTGAGGCTCCCGGACCTCTCAGACTATATAAAGCCACCCCTCTGCCTCCTGGGTTCCAATTTTAAATCAAACACAGCCCAGCCCTGCCGGCTCCTGTTGATCCCCATGGATTCCAGGGGCCGCTCAAAGGCTCCCGAACCAGCCAGCTAAAAATGACTCCGTTGTTCCCACTGGAGAAATTTAAAATTAAAACTCATGTGTGGTGCAGAGACTGCCCCATGATGAATGGAAGCAAAAAACAAACAAACAAAACCCATCTCTAAGAAAGACCTCGGTGCAACCCACCTGCCACTCTCCCCACCATTCTGCGCTTCTGTGTCTATAGCAACCAGGTTCTCAGCTAGGAGCCTGGACCCACCCAGAGAGGCGATGGGACCTGGGCCTGGAGCAACTGGGTAGTAAAAGGCCTGCACTGCTCTCCTACCAGATGCTGGTGCTGGATCCAGGGGGTAATGGGCACCTTCCTCCAAGTGCAGGGAAAGTCAGGAATGGTCACGGGAGACAGGCTGGAATAGACCTGGAGATGATGGCAGTGTTTCCGTACTCAGAGGAGAAAGTACCAACGGGGACAATCAAAGAAGGAAGCTCACAGTCCCCTAACCACCCTCTCAGGTCTTTTGTTTCCGTTTCTTCCTACTGTGCCTCAGAATTAGCAGGGGAAAGGAGCCGGGCATGGAGTCCAGAGGAGGGGCAGCATCTGGAGGCTAGATACTGCGTGGGCCCAGGCTGTCCTGACTGATTGCCTGGCGCTGCACCGCAGCCCTGGGGGGACTGGACAGCAATGGAGTGAAGCCCATGGAAACGGACCCCATGCAACCCTGCCAGCCATGGGAAAGCTCGTATCCCTTGTCTCCAGCTGAGCTAGTCTCATCTCTAGCCCATCTCTAGCGTGCCCTGAGGATCCCAGTTTGCATGCACCCAGGGAGTTCACTGAGGGCACGATTACGTGCAGGGACCAGACTGTGAGAGATGCTTACCATGCGCTGCATTAGCTCATCAGATCCTCAAAACAAGGGGTGTGACAGCCACTGCTGTTAGCTCATTTTATTTTTTTATTTTTTTACCCTCACCCGAGGACATTTTTGCATTTATCTTCAGATAGAGTGGGAGGGAGAGAGAGGGGAAGACAGAGAGAGAAATGTGGCTGTGAGAGAGACACATCGAGTGGCTGCCACCCACAGAACCCCAACCGGGGCTGGGGACAAACTGCAACCGAGGTACGTGCCCTTAGCGGGAACCGAACCCAGGACTCTCTGGTCTGCAGGCCAATGCTCTAACCGCTGAGCCAAACCAGCCAGGGCATTATTAGCTCATTTTAGAGAAGAGAAGGTTGAGACCTCAGGAGTTTCAATAACTCCCCAAGGTCGCACGTCTGGTAAGTTCAAGTTTGAACCTGAATCCAAAGCTGGTGTCCTTCCCACGACCAAAGAAGCCCCTCAAAGCGAAAAGGCCGAGATTGAAAGCGGCTGGTGTACCAGCTGTGAGAGCCCAGCAGAGCCACCGAAGAACCACGGCTGAGACATGGGGAGAAACCGCCGCTGGGCAGAGAGGACCTGGAGAACGATGACATCACACAGTGTGGGGATCAGAACTGCCCTGCCAGCGTTGGTGTGGATGGCTGCAGGCAAGTGTCGTCACGCCCCCACCGCCCTGGGCACCTCATGGCACGCTCTCCTTTCCCTGGCCCTGGAGGTCATTGCAGGTGTGGGAGCACCACTGTCTGGAGGAACTGGAGGCAGCCACCACCACCAGGAGAGAATTCTGCACTGGCCCATGTCTTTGTGACAGTAGATGTGATTAGTT